TCTGTTCAGCCCAGAGCAGAGCAGGCTGAGGGGAGGCCTCATGGCGGCCTGCAGCTCCCTCACGAGGGGAGCGGAGGGGCAGGCGCTGAGCTCTGCTCTCTGGGGACAGCGACAGGACCCGAGGGAACGGCATGGAGCTGGGACAGGGGAGGGTCAGGCTGGGTGTTAGGGAAAGGGTCTGCACCCAGAGGTGGTCGGGCACTGGGACAGGATCCCCAGGGACGTGGGCATGGCACCGAGCTGCAGGAGTTCAAGGAGCGTTTGGACACCGCTCTCAGACACAGGGTCTGGTTTTGGGGTGGTTCTGTGTAGAGCCAGGAGTTGGACTCGATGGTCCTTGTGGGTCCCTCCCAACTTGGGATATTCAATGTTTCTAAGAATCTGTGATTCTAAAGCACGACATGTTGTTGAAAGGAGATGAGGGTTTGCTATAGCAGTAGCAGAAGGGTAAGTATGAAAGCCAGCATCACCTGAGCTATCAGAGGTGTTTGGGCTCACAAAACACTGGGTGAAGGCCACAGACACCCACAGCCCCACACACCCAATGCCAGACTCCATAGGACTGCAGTGACGGGGGAGAGAGTTGCACGGATGTGAGCTGAGCTGGGCCAGGCACTGTAGGGGCAAAAATCATATGTTTAATTTGCCTGCACAGAAGCAGGTTTAGCTTTCCTGACCCCCAGTGCAAAAACAGAAACAAGGAGTGGGGGTGCTCCTCTAAGCTCTTTCTGCCTCTCTGTGGTGTGCTTGTACAGCACATAGCACAGTGATGCCCCCATTTCTCTGATCACAGTAAGATCTCAGCAGGAACTCTGCTGAGTTGGTGGAGCGTATCCCTGGTCCCAAAGAGTCTCCATGCTCTTTGCTCCAAAAGGCCAAGCAACTTTCCAGTAACAATTTTCTCATGTGAGTTTTTTTGGATTCCCTACCTCTGAACGCCTTCACAGGTGTTTTACAGACATGTTTGGAGGGGCCCTTGCCCCTCTCATTCCCCTATGGGTCTGCAAATATCAGTCCATGGAGAGGATGCTATACACCATCCAGGCTTTAGGTCAACACACAATGAGGAGGTTTCCCCACCAGCATCACATCACATCGTCATGTCATGTCATGGCACAGCACATCACATCCAGCTCTGGACGACCAGCTTTCACTGAGGATCCTGAATGGACCCTGCTCCTCCCTACCATAGTTCAGATACTTAAACATCCTGCAAGACTGCAAGTTAGCAGTTCCCTGCTCTCTGTTAACGCTGGTGTCTAGGAAGACCACCATGCCTCTCTCTAAAATAGTGTCCATTTTCTATTTAGCTTCCTTTAATAAATGAGGATCATAGCAAAGAAATAAATTTGTATGAAATTTAGCCATATAAGGAGGAGAGAATGGGAGGGGGGCAAAAAAAAAAATACAGCCACACTTGTTACTGCTGCATGAAGGGATGTGACATGCAGCATGTGAGCAAGGTGGTGCTGAGCAGATGAGGAGGTGCAGACTGATGTGACCGATGCTGAGTGTACCCTGTGATGCAGGGCAGGAAAACAGGAGACATCATTTGGGGATGGCTGGGGCTGTCACACACAGCAGGTAGCACGAACTGGATGGCAGAGGTGTCAGCTAGCACAGCATCAGGCAGGGGGCAGAATGCACGGTTGATCAGGGCTTAGTTATTTTGTGTGGGTGGAGGGGTGTAAAGGCAGGAGGAAAGGGCAGATTGAGGCAGAGCAAGGCCAGGTATAAGCACTGACAGCTCACGTGTGATGAGATGGAGCTGGTGCTCCTGTACTCTGCAACCACCCAGGAACATCTGCACCTTTCCATCACAGCTCCAAAATATGCCTGTGGTCCCAGCACCCCCAGTCAGCTGCCATAGGGGCTGGGAGAGGGGGGCGGGGAAGGAGAGCACCCACTTCTACCCCTTCCTCCTGGGAACTGGGGGTCCAGATGCATCCCACACTTGAACATCCCAAGCTTCCTCCCTGGCTGTATTGGAGATGCACAAAACTCTTAAAGTTGGACAGATTGGCCACTTGTGGGAGCCCTGTCATTCAATCCCCTTTTGTCATGCTCATAGAAAGCAGCTGGTGAAAGGGAAATGAGCTTTTAAGGATTATTTTGGATGCAGGAGGCTGTACCACTGCACGTGCCAGAGTTGTCTTGAACCCATAACACACGCAGAGTTTTTTATCTTAAATCAGCATTTGCCCCCCCATGGTTTCAGGTTTTCTGGTTCTAGCAGTGACTTCCCAAGCCTGCCTGCTGCTTGGTTTGCTGCGAACAGAGGGTGCTGGCTGCAGACCCCAGGTTCTGGAGGGACCAAGGGTGAGAGCCCACCAGGGACATGGTGTCTGGCAGTCACCGTGCAGCAGTGTCCCTTCAGAGACCAGATTTGGGACCAAAGGGGGATGGAAGTTTGTCACTAGATGGCAGCGCACTCTCTTGCAGAAGGTGTGGGTGCTGTGGTGGACAGGGGACGCTGCTGTCTGGTAAGCAAGCTTTGCAGCCAAAACCAGCTTGTAGGATGGGGCAGCCCACCGCCTCTGTGCTCCCCTTTGCCTCACCTCCTTGCTGGGCTTTGAAAATTCCCCGTGGGTACAGACTGAAATGACTGCAGAATAGAAAGGGGAAGGGAATTAAAGGCACTTTTGGAGGCAATCTCAATGCTCTGTAATTTGCAGTCACGTCAGACTCCTGTTTCATCTTTGTATGACACCGAGATAACATCCTCCTCGCGTGCCCTTCAGCTGAAAGCCTTGAATAACGGAGCTATATCAATGCATACATGCACGAGCATAAGTATGTGTGTGAGCTGGGGGAGCGGCATGCCCACACACGAGCCCCTCTCTTTTCTTTCTTGGCTGCGATTTTCCTCTCTCTGGTTGCCAATATTCATCTGCAGGTTGTAAATTTTTAAAGCTGGACCACTCAAGAGACTATACCTGCAGCAAATTAGCTGGTGCCTTCTCCTTTTTAATATTAAAAGACTCAAGCTTTCAACTATTTCCCTTCGGGAAAACGGCTCCTTGATTTACAGTCTTCCATCTTAGGAAGTATTTTGTTAGATCATGTAAGCCTTTCACAGCTCAATTTAATCTCATTACTGCTAACTATAGCCTTTTGGACCCTGTTAATCAGTGACTTGGTGATGTCCTCAGTGACAGCTTCCTCCAGATCTTTTGATGCCATGAGTGTGGCTGGGGATGAAGCCCAGCTGGTTTATGTGCCTGGGAATGGGCTTTCCTAATGGATGTAGCCAGCTTTGCCCTTTGCGAAATGCTCAGGACTCCCTTAGCATCTCAGAGGTAACAAAGCATGGTCTCAAAGGACTTACTGGTATTTTGGTTTTATGTGTAATTATTCAGCTCTGAACTGTTTCATGGGCATGAGCTTGCTGATAAGCCAAATGCCAGTCAGCAGAGCTTTCCTGAGCACTGCCAAGCTGGTGTCCACCATTTCGTGGTGGCCCAGACCTGTGCTCTGTATATCCTTAGAGCACCGTGTGGCTTCAAGCCTTTAAACACACTGCATTCCCCATCCCAGGTCGCTGCGTTGGCCAGGTGTCCGCTCCTCAACCCTAAAAAAAAGAGCTGTGGGGCAGTCCCTGGGTGATGGTGAGCAGCCTCCTGCAGAAAACCTGCTGGTGCATGTGGAGCACTGATGTGTCCTTCTGTGGAAATGACCAAGAACAGCACATGTATAGTCATGGACAAGTCTTGTCCCAGAAGAGGTACGGGACAGCTGGTTCCTGGGCTTCTTTAGGAATCGTTACATCTCCTGTCTCTGAGCTAGAGTCCCATCTCTGAGCCAATCCAGTGCCTACATCAGAGGTAGCTATCATATTCCCAGCTCTCTTCCTGGCTGCAATTACCTCTCCAAAAGGATCCCACCCCAAACAAGCCCTAGCCCTACCACAGAAGTAGTGCCCAAGACGACACGAAGTCTTTGCTGTTGCAAGGCTCTGAGCCAAGGGCTGGAGGCTGGTGTAAGGCTCTAAGATAGACCATGAGTCACCATCCACCAACCAGAAGAAAAGATGTTCCTCATGCTGTAAAAGGCACACTGCAGCTAATAAATGCTGTGATCACATTTAGCAGGATAGCATGGTGACTTCACATGCTTTGATATTAAAAAAATATTCCAGCGATGCTGTGGAAACTTCAGCTCCTTCTTTTGTCTGTGTGCTCATGTAAGAGACTTGTTTTCCCAGGCAGTTGGGTAATTAAATACAGTGTCTCAAATCCTGGAAGCACATCATCTTTTTTTTTTTTTTGTCTCTCATGTGGAAGAGAAGAAAGACAAGGAAAAGAAAGAGAACAAACCCTCGGCAGCTGGGATATGGGGTCCACAGATTCCTGCTCCAGACCCAGAGCAGACAGGATGGTTCCCTGGTCTCAAATCCAGTTGTTATGGGATTGCAAGAGAGACGCACTTTTGAGTCCCAAACCTCTGAAACCTTCCTGATGACATACTTTTGGTAAAATTCAACCCTTTCCCAGACAAAGCTTCAGCTTGGATCTCTCCCCGTTCACAGATGCCTCCTGCCTTGAAATATCCCTGACCTGCTATAGTCCCGATGATATCATAGCATTAGGGATCACTTACATAGCCTGTCCTCAGCCAAAGATGACTCTGTCTGATACATCACTGCTGCCAAGTCCAAAAAGGAGCCCAGCCAAGACTCCTTAGGTACAAAGGAACCTCTCCCTCTTCCTTTCCTCAAGGCTGAGGTGCAGGCAGATATGACTCACCCCAATCTAAACACGGACGTAATTCTGCCCTGGTGTTTAGTCCCAGCTATTTTTAAATGCTGGGATAAGAGCACAGGGAGTCAGGATGGCTCCGTGGACACATCGCTGGCCCAGATCCCAGCTGCATCGGGGTGTGCCAGCTCTGTGCAACGGGCCCCTTCGGGGCTGGAAGGGGTACAGGACCAAGTTGCCCCTTCCCGGCTGCAACAGTAGAGTAGCAATGACGATTGGTAAGCAAAAATAAATCCAACTCACAGCTTCTGCCTGTGGCTGAGTCACTGGCTGCATCCGGCACTGAGGAGATGATCACCTGTCTGTCACGGGAGATCTTGCCTTCCTGTGGGGGGGTGACAAACAGGTAAATTCTCTTAAACAGAGGAGAGGAGCTGCACAAGGCCCCAGCGTGGGGAAAGCAACTCCATCAAAGGCTTTCCAGATGCTGGGGTGGTCATAATATTGCATCCTTGTATCGTGTGGGGTCGGACTTCTTTGCTGTAGACCTCATCCAGCCTTGGTCTTGGTTTGTTGTCCCCAGGAACAGTCCTTCTCAGTTCTTTGGGCAAGGCCTCCCTCAGTTTACAGAGCCAAGTAATGTTTTCTCTTACCTATCCTGATTTTTGAAGCCACTGTTGCTGCTCTCCCATCTAGGCTGTACATTTTTAACTCTTCCCTTCCAGGGAAGGGATCATGGCAATAAATAGTTTGTTGAATGTGTGACTGGTGTCCCTGATAGCATGAAATCACCCAAAGCTGGCATTGCAGAACCTGTCTCAAGGGAGATCCAGCATGTGTTGGGGATCTCTTGGCGAGTCTACCAAACCTTAAAAATAGAGAAAGTGGCATCCATACCATAGGGCGGTGATGTGCTAAAGGATTTTCTGTGGTGGATTTGTTGCTCACCCCCACCACATTTTAGAGCAAGCTCTATCCTGGTGGTAGCTCTGATAGCACAATATGGTTCCCCTGTAAACCTGGTCCCCCATCCCTAGGCATGGTTGCCCTTCCACAGGGCAGCCCCCATGCCCAGTGGATGAGGAACAACCACCATGAAGCCCAACCACTCCTAAGCATGACTCCGGACACCCAAAGAAAATAAATTTCAGAGGAGCTTTCAAAGAAGAGCAGAACACCTACTAACCTTTGAGGCAGACTTCTTCCATGTGATGGTGGTGGGGCTCCATTGCATCCTCTGCATGCTCTGAAGAGAGGAAGGGAAGGATGGCTCTCTATGGGGTTTGGTCTCCCTGCTCAGGGGTTGGATTGTTGTCAGGATCCTGGTATCAGCTTCTCTCTTCTTCAAAATCCTGTTGTGAGGTGGTGTCTTGAGTGGAGCAAAAGGTAAAGTGTTACTCTGTGGATTGGCTCTATGGGTGTCAAAGGGGGTCGGGAGTCCTTGGAGGTTCCGTGTTGTGGCACTGATCTTATGGATGGGAAGATCCTCCGTGGACTTGCTCCAGGACACATCACCACGATGGCTTTGGGATAAACCATACTTTTTCCCCATTGGATTGCCATTAGTCTGTGATAGATATCTTCTTTCCATGAGCTAAAAAAAACAAACATACAACAAAACAGGCTCATACATAACTTCAATATCAGATCAACTGGAATTTTAATTTCCTACTCTTTCAATCCAAGCATCATACCTGTTGACCTTTTAACTTTTTGGGGTGAAATAATCCCTTACTTTCTTCTCTATATTCCCTGAAGTGAATGTCAGGGACATGACCTAAACACATTCTAGCCCTTTCTGAAGTGTGGGAGAAGTTTCTGCCTTGCCTATTTCCAGTGTGTCCTCCTAATTTGTCCATGGTAATGCAAGAAAGCCTTGGGGTAGCAAAAATATGGTCACTGGTTCCTCAGACAGGAAGTCTCCCTCTCTATCATCTCATAGGAAACCTTGAGTTTCTTTTTAAGAAAGATCCTGTCCTGTAAATATTTATATATATATTTTTTGTTTTATTTATTTTTATCTTTATTATATTTTTATAGTCAAAAGAGCCAAGAAAGTGATTTCTTCACACTAGGGTAGACAGCTTTCTTTAGTAAATGCTTTGAGTGAGTCATTTGAGACACACAGATTTGAGACACACCAAAGCATCCATCTTCTGGTTCAGGAGGGCAGAGATATCCCAGTGTCATATCTGTCAGCCCAATGTGGATGTCTGGGTGCCTTAATAGCTTTGTGCACCTTTGTTTCAAGATCCTTCTCTCATTTTCTAACCGGTTTTAAATCTTCTGCCAGGTCCTATACCTCTTGATGGTTTTCCATTAGTCTCTTCCACTACGATTTATTCACTCCAAAGGAATCTGAATGTTATATGGGAAGATTTCATCCCATCCTGGAGCATCTTATATGTTTCAGTCCATCTGTACATACTAAAAGGGAATCAGATCTGACCTGCTGTCCTCAGAACAGCACCAGATACTGGGAAAATTTTTGTCTCTAATTGCTAAAAAACAGACTATTTTGTTGTCAGGGCCTGCTCTGTCCCACCTTGTCTGAGTCTTTGGCTCTCACCTTGGGATATTCTTTCTTCGACATTTTGCTTTCACAGTCCAGGATGCTCTGGTACCTGCAGGGAAGGCAGGAGAAGGTAAATGAATCCCTTTTTAGCCTGATTGTGTTTTTCCATTTTATTGACAGTCTTCCCCTACCCTCAGAAAAATATCAAACCAGACTATAAAGGTAATTTTAAAGGGTGAGAGATGTGAAAACTCCTGTAGAGAGGTCAGGCTGTAGGACCAACAGCTTAGTTCAGTGCAGTGCCACTAGATCTAGTGTAAGCCCTCTCATCCTATGATCTATGCAGATGTGCCCCGAGCACCCGGTCTCCCCACTGGAGGGGGATCTGCAGGGGTGTGATACAGATTAAAAGTGGTGTGTTATTGCACTTTGCTAATAATAAATGGCTTGTTGGAGTCAAGCTTTCCAGAAAATCAAATTCTTTTTTATTTATTTAGCTTTAACCTAACTTAAAAGGGTTTATCAAGCCACTAGCTGCCCTAACATAACACTGGTGGTGAATGAGACCTCTGCAGAAGAAACCACCTTCCTTCTCATTGTTTCAGCTTTCTCCAAGACCCTGCTAGATAGATGGCTTTTTATACTGAAGATTGACCAGCTTTGGGATATTCAGAACTAAACTGTCTCAAGGGGAAGTTCAAGAGACCGTCTTGACAGCAGCTCTGTCACTCACGTTGAGGGAGATGCGCTGAGGGTACCATTGCTAATCTTATTTGTCTCACCCTTGGCAGAGCTGAGATCTGATCTCAGTTATGGGTTATAACCAAGAGAGAAATTATCCCTTAAAGGGCTAGGGTTGAAACATGACTCTACTTGGAGCATGTTCATTAGAAACACTCAAGAGAAAACACAGTGGGATGAGATGCCCATACACCTCTTGTCTCCTAACCAGCTCATCCCTCCAGCCTTTGCTGGTTTCCCTTATGGTACCTTAGAGACTATGCAGATTAAAAGCCTTAATTATCCACCTGGGAATGTTCCTGTCACTGGGTTATAGGGCAAATTACTCCATGTCATTGTCTTCGGGCGAGTTTGTTGTGTGGATCTGGGGTTTAGATCAGGACTTGGCTTCCAAAACTAAATAATGCATCAATAATGTAGAACAGATAAGAGCACTTGGGGCAGAAAACTACTTGCCTCTAGCTTGAGATGTGAAATGCTGGGATGCTGTACCTGGGAAAGACTTTATCTGAGTGACATCTGTTATGGATATGGAGGAAGGAGAGTCCACCCTGGAGAGCTCCAGAGGTCTATGGTCATCTGCAGCTGTAGAATAGCCACCCACCTGGCAACCAGTTCGGAGACAGACACTGATTTTCTCAGAGGAACTGCTTCGTGCTCTGGGATGCCTCTTGGAGAATGGCACAGAAAAGGGAGGGACTGAGCTGGCCGCAGCTTCTCAGCTTTTTCCATGTCCTCTGTCTGCAGGTGTTGGAACAAGAGGGTAAATGTTATGGTGCTGGATGTGAGATCCATGGAAAGCCAATCCCTAGTGCATCCTTCTCCACTCTTGGGGTCAGGAAAGCAGTAAAAGGCCATGGAACAAACTCTTTCTTCACTGATACATCAGAAAAGCTCAGGACATAAATTCACTTTTGAAAAAATAAAATAGGGTTAAGAAGATGCATTTTAAGTCAAATTACTCCTAATGCACGGAATGGGTCTTTTCCACCTTTGCCCATCAATTTTCTTATTCCCCTTAGTCACCCAGTCCAGCTTTGTGACAGAGAAAGGGAAAGAACCAGAAAAAGGTTCAGCTTTAAATCATTTAAAGTAATTTGATGGAAATTATGTGTATGCATCATAAATGGATATATATATATATTTAATGTCTCCAGTGTTGTGTAGACATGAATCAGCTCTGAATTAAGCAGTAACTGGAGGATTAAGCACCTCTTGCCCTCTTCTGCCAAAAATGTTCTTGTATTCCAGGCTTCAGAAAGGCACAGCAGAAGTCTCAGGCAGTGGATTTGTGATGACTGATCTGACACTTGGAAGTACATTAGGTCATCTGGGGCTCATTTTCTGAATTTAGATAGAGCTCAAGGGACCTACAAGTTATACGTAATTGCTCTTTAATTACTGACACAGACATCCAAACCATGGGATTATTAGATACTTGCACTGAGATTTTGAAAATACTTGTTTTAAAAGCTGTGTTGCTTGCATAATATGTTTCATAAATGATTTCTATTGCACTTGCAGATCTGGTCAATTTTTTTTCTGGGGGGTTGGGGTGATACTCAGCAGCTTATGAATCACCGCCTTCCCCTTTTAACATATCTGAAATCAAGACCAGGAAGAGGGATGTATATTTCTCACTATTTGCTTTAGAAATTCCTCTTTTTTTTTAAATTTATTTTTTATTTTTGTATCCCTCCTTTTATTTATTTTTTCCCCAGGTCACTTCACACAATGTTAGAGAAGAGACAGCTTTAGATCACAGACACCCACCTCCCACAGTCCAGGGATCATTCCCCATTCTTGCGGTTGTGTCTAATGTTAAACAACTCCACGTGAAGAGCCCCTGGGGGATTTACTTCATGGCAGGATAAACGCATTAGAAGGGAAGCCTTCCCTGATTTTTCATTTATGCCCCCCTCTTCTTCAATACTGTAGGCACAGTAAATGGAAATACACTTCTCAGCCCACCCTGAACTGTTCCCACAACCAGCACAGCACCCCCCAGTCACCAAGGGCTTACTGATATTAATTCATTCCATCTCCTCTGATCTGGGAGGGTTGTTTTTTTTTGGTGTAAAATCACTTACATGCTAGAGTGCTTTCCTCCACCTGAGATCTGCCATTTGATAGTCTCCTTGGGGCTCTTCAGTACCACGCTTCTGACTCCTTTTTCATCCCCTCCTTTACAAGACAGGAGGCAAAGTCCCTTGGCAAAGCTGCAATTAAATATTAAAAGCTGATGTGTGATTGGAGCTGGTGTGAATTGGAGAGCTGGCACTGAAGAGCGGAGGAGTTGAAGCCTCCTCCTTGCTCCTGCTAGCCTGTTGCCAAATATTAAGGTCTCATCCTTCCCTGTAAAACCACCGAGTAAATTCAGAGCCCAGCTGGGGCATGAATAGCCATCTAGACCCACAGCAAGGCTCTGATTTGGGTGTAAATCTGCTGGAATCCTTGTCTGAGGTGGAGCAGAAATTAGTTCCTCAGCATGGGGATTTTAAAGTGGATGTTTCTGGCAAAGGTCATACATTCATCCTCCAAACCAGGAAGGTTTTTCAGCGCATCTTATGGTCCCAAATGCCTGTGACTTTGCTGAGGAGGCTTTGCCTGAACCATAAGAAAGGAAATCTCTCCAGACTGTTAACAGCTCTAGGGCATGCACTGCTCCTCCTGGCAAAAATGAGGTGGTCAGGACTTCAGGGAGAGAGGGTCCGGGTGCAATGAATTGAAATTGTTCACTATTAGGGACAAGAAAAGGCAGGACTGGTTGTGGGGATCCAATTTATGCATCATCTAAGTCTGATCAAAATCAGAGTTTAGCAAAGGTAACCCCTCAAAAAACATCGTGCCCACTAACAGGACTGGTCTGGCACCTGACAATCCATGGTTTTCCATGAAGTTCTTTCGGGGGATTTGTCCTGCACATGCTGGAAGGTTGACCAAGCAACAAAGGCAGTGCGTGAATAAGAGCAGATAATAGTGTGTTGGTTTATAATGAACCAGAAGGGCTGCATTTAACATCAAAAGCTGGAAAATCATTTACCCAGAAAAGCCTAAGCTAAGCAAGAAACCTTTGATACTAGGGGTGAGTTAGGGCAACACACAGAGCTGGATATACGGACCGACCACCTCTGTCATCACTTTATGAATAATAACCTGCACTTTTCTGTGCGTTCTGATCCAAATCTTACTGGAACAAGTAGAAAACTCTTTACTGAGCTTTTATTCCAGCACTTAAACCCATCTGAGAAACTTTAACACTTTTATTCTCTACCTTGCAGGTATGGTGAGTCTGATTTCATGCATTAGGTGCTTATGATCTCAGGTGCATTTGTTGCAGCAGCACCTAAGGACCAGCCTAGAGCACGCCCCCAGCTCTGTACAGATTCAGGTGTGTACCAGGCTTGAAGCCTTTGCCCTCCTCCTGCACTCTCAGGGTCTTCCTGACCTGGTAATTTTCCACTGAACGATATTCAGCTCTTGGAGGAGTGTGCAGGATGCCCTGCACCCTGATGGGAAAATATCAGTGACTTTATCAGCTGCTGGGCTTCCAAGGGACAAATCTGACGGATGTTGGATGGGTTTTTAGTTGAATGGGCAAAGCAAGGCTTTGAAGCTGAGATGCTTCCTTGTTAGGTATTTAATTTAGGGAGGAAAGAGTGGGCTGACAGCATGAAACAATGAACATTGCTGTCCATCCAGTAGTGAGTAATGGAGGCTGCTAAAAGACCCGTGAATTATTTCAGGGACTACCGCTATCCAGTTCCTCTCTCCATAAAAAGGCCGCATGAAATAATTCTCTGTGTAGCTCCCAGGCACACTCGCTAGATAAAGTGTGTTTTGAAACTGTTTTTGCCAGGATTACAGTGCCTTAGGCTGGTTCTTCAGCTACAGCCTCTGCTGGGGGCCTGGCTCAGCGCGGTGATTTTAGTCTTTGGTGTTAGCTGTGTGCTGGGTTTGCTCTCTTGGCAGGCATCTGTGGGAAGATGGGAACGAACTGTTCACACCGAGTAGTTTCTGAGAGAAGTGGGTCCCATGTCCTCTGAAAGCAGGATGGGTGGGCTCAGAGGAAAACAAGCTGTGATTCTTGTCTCCCTTTTGGAAGTGCAGTAGCCAGTGCTGAAAGAGGAGGGAGAGAAACTCTGCCTGGTTAGAGAAACCCCGCTGAAAAAGCCCTGGAATTGGGTTGACTTGCTTTCAGGTGCCAAATCACAGCAGTGGGGTGACTGCTTAGAGGGTAGAGGGCACCAGTTCAATTGGGTACCAGCTCCCCAAACACCTTTTCCTTCCACAACCAAGGAAGGAAAATAAAAAGGAGGCTCATTACTGTTGAAAACTCTTGGGCTTTGCTTCTTCCTTCATGCAAGCAGTTGGAAGAGGTCCTTGTAGAGACTGGGAGCTTTGGCAGGATGCGATTTTTGAGCTTCAGCAGTTTATAGACAACCTCCAGAGTTTCAACCCAAACCATTCTGTGATTCTGTGGTCACCCAGGTGAAGGAGATGGGGAAGGGAGGTGCTGCAAGACCCGTTCTTGGCGTGTTCCCCTGTGCTTTTGGCTTTGCTTGCTAGGGTCAGGCGCTCTGTGGGAACACTGAGGGCGCTTGATGTGGCTGGATGGGGCAGAGCAGGGCATGCAGGATGGAAATGTGGTCGGTGTAGCATCCCCTGCCAAGGCACTGAGCTCTCCAGCACGGGCACAGCAGGGTAGGCAGCAGGGTAGGCAGCCACGAGAGGCAGGCAGAGGGAGCACAGGCAGGGGATGGAGACAGATAGCAGGGAACTTTGATCAGGGTCCTATTAATGGTTAACGCAGACAATTATTTCTAGCTGTGTCAAATGGACTGACCTAAGCCCACAGGAGATTTGTGCTGACCAGACAGAGAACTCAGTTTATATAACCACCTTTTTTTTTTTTTAAGCTTTTTTTTTTTTTTTTCAGTTGTATAATGTTGTTTTGATAGCTCTATTCCCACAATAAAATGTCTGTGATCTTCTTCTTTCTTTCCCCCCATGCGCCCAGCCTGTTCTGGCTGCTCTGGGTGGCATTGCTGCATGCGCATTTGTGCCCTGTGTGTCAGACACCCATGTGTGGGGATGGCGCAGGGTGCAAGCGAGCATGAGAAGGAATAAATCAGTGTGGGTTAGGGATAGCAATCTGCTATTAGTTATAAACAGACTGATGCATAAAAGGTTTTCTGGAAAAGGCTGGTTGCAATGTGCATCTTCTCCAGATTTGATCCCCTGTCAGGGAACTCACAACTGGCTACAAGCAACAGAGGAAAGAGACAAATTTTGCACTCTTCCCAGCTTGTTCTTCCCATTTTTGGGGGGCCAAGGACAGCTGTGTGCCCCGTGTGGCAGCAGGGCTGTGTGTGTGGCTGCACAGCGAGGGGTTTAATCCTGTAGCTGATGGCACCATGTACAGAGGCGATGCTGGCAGAGCTGATTTCTTCCCTTTCATCTGCTGGGCAGGGCTCTGTACCAGCAGTTTGTTGAGGATGGGTGCACCGGAGGAGGAAAAATCCCTTGCGAAGTCTCTCACATTGCCTTCCCTCTACTCTCCGTCTGCTTCTTATGGAGAAGTATCTGGATCATCGCAGTCATTTCCATAATTATTGGTTTCATGTTAAGTAACCCAAAAATTATCTATCAAACGCACATGTGGAACTAATGGGGCTTATTTGAAAAGACCTGTCTTTGCATTTGCAGCTGGCACATCGCTCGGTCCATTTTAATGAGCTTCCACGGCACTGACATGTGCTGGGCTGGGAGCTCACATGTGCGCTCCTGCACCTCCTGGGAGCACAGGGCACAGGAAAATGGGTGCAAAAGGAGCTGGGTGAGGCTGTACGGTCCCTTTGAACGCTCCCTGCTAAATATTGCTAGAGCATTTTTCCCATTTATTCATTTTGGGAATCAGGGTGGAAAACCTGGGAGACTGGCTTTCCTCGGGAGACCTCTGTTAATGGCTGGTTTTTGTGTGGGTTGGAAATATCGTGGAAGGAAATTTAGTAATTTCCACTTCAAAAGGTAGGATGGCCTCCGGCTTTCTTAAGGAAAGAAAAAAAAAGTGCCAAAATGGAAGTTTTTCAGACTCCACAGTCTCAGGTTCAGGTGGAGGTTGGGTTGCAGAGAAGTGATGTGGGCAAAGTTGTAGGGCTCAGAGAGGGGGAATGTCTGAGGGCATCTCCAGCTCTTGCTTGGCCTCAGACCTTGCCAGGAACCTTCATTCTGAGGTTTTAGGGTCTGATTCTGAGAGTAGCACCAGCAGAGCCTATAGGACCTGAGGCCTGTGGGTGGAAAGCACCCTGACCTTCTACCACCAAGGTTAATTGGCATGAGCAATGCCTTTTAGACATCAGGCAGCAGAATGAGGACTCGGGTCCATGAGACTTTGAAGATTCAAAGAAACATTTTCATCCTGTGGGACATCTAAAACAAGCTTTAAGTAATTTAAAACAAGTTTTTAAGACCTCCTAGCAGCTGTCCCTTCCCAGAAATGGCCTTTGCTTCCACAAACTGGTGTTTTCTGCTCACATTTCCTTACCTGCCCCCAGGTTCCATCTCATACTGGACATCCTTTTGTATCTGTGCAGCACGAACCTTGCAAATGAGCTGAACACTCATGGAGCAAGCCAGGGGATCGCAGTGGCTCCGTGTTTGCTGCATTTGCATTGCACTCAGGCACAACCCAGCTCCCTGGGGAGCAGAGAGATCCTCTTGCAATGCTCTGCTGACAGCTTCCCCAGGAAGCTCTTATTCCATACCAGCACGAAACGTCCCGCAGTCATCTCCTCCATGGCCAGACCCTGCACCTCCATGGGCTCGTTGCATTGCCCACAGCTTTCTGCGGTGCATCTTTAGGATGTGACTCATCCCCCCCCCAAATCCCCAAATGCTGCTGCTTGAGAGCTGCTTTGCCCCATCACCCAGCTGGATTTGGTGCCCACACATGTGCCTCTCCTGGCACCAGTGATGCACCTGGCCGTGCCGTAGGGCCCCCGTGCCCATGCTGGGGAAGGGGATGTGGGCTTTTCCCCAGGAGCATCCTGGAGTGGGAGGAAAGACAGAAAGGGGAGGACTAGAAATTAATAAAATAAAGCTGCCTTTATTTTCTGAATGCAAATTAAACCCAAGCAACTAATGCTAAGTGGCTGTCCTCACCCGGGGTGCTCTGCTTGTCCCATGAACTGCTTTTTCTCAAGCAAAGACTTAAACTTTTCATGCACAAGCCATCTTATTCTCACCATATGGGACTGCAGCATCCCTTCGGACTGGTCGTGTTCATTCATGGGCTCTCCCCTACAAAAGGGATTGATTGCCTGGGATGGTTTCACAGGGGTGTGTTTGTAGGTAGATGTTTCTTCCACCTTCCCCAGCAAAATGCGAAACCCACAGACTGCTCAGGCTTCAGTTCCTCTCTGAGCAGTGTATCATCCCCCTCCCCGGGCAGCTCTGAAAATTAAAACCAGCAAAAGTACATTTCTTGTGAGGAGGAAACACTTCTTGGCTGCCTCTGAGATGCCGTTGGGCTCTGTGAGTGTGTGTCTGCAAACTGCAATGTGCGTATCCTGTGCTGCCACGCTCTGTGGGTGTACATCAGAGCTGGGTGCAGCTGTAATAGGCACCAAAGCGGATGTTTTTTCCCCCTTTTCTCCCCGGGGTCAGGAGGAAGCAGCCCTACTCCATCTTCAGCCTCCTCCCAGCTGGCTCGGGTGCTTGGCAGCTGTCATCGCCATCCCTCCGTCCCCAGGCTGAGTTCCCTCCTGGTGCACAGTCAGGAGCCAGCAGAAGGTTTTGGGATGGGGAATTGGGACTGTGGCAGAGCTGAACCGGTCTCGCATACATCAAGGTTTACCCTCGCTAGCCCTAAAATCAGCTGATTTCCACCAGGAATTCAGGGTCAGAATGATGGGTAGGCTGAAAGGTGCACCTATGTGCTGTTGTGCAGCAGGCTGCAATGGCTTAAGGGCTGGGTAGATGTTTTATGACATCGCCAGCTTGGCATGGTTGTAAATAAATAGTTCTGGCTTCCTATCTGCGTGATCCTCTGGAAAGATGCAAATAAGGAGGAAGCGTGCATAGCAAAGTGGGAGCTGAGTGAGATTTATTCAGCGTGATTATTATTGTTGTTATTAACAGGGGTGTGCTTCAGCTAGACTTGGAGAGGCAGGAGAGACAGTCCCTGGGGAATGAGAGATCTCATCCAGCGGGGTCTGTTTGTTACCCTCATCACGCTAAGAGCTGGAGAGCTTTTACACATCTCATGGGAGGATCTTCTCCTGTCTGAGCTGCTTTAGGCTGGGAGGAAAGGGGAACTGGTACAAAATGAGGAGTGGACCCTTCTGTGTGTGCTAGGAAGGCAGCTTCAAATGCACGTCCTTGCACCGATGTATTTTATTCCTCTGGAAATTATGGCAGCACCTCGGGGTCCCTCAGGCCCAGCCCCTGCCCCAGCAGGGCTACCCAGAGCAGGGTGCCCAGGCCCATGGCCAGGCGGCTTTTGGAGCTCTCCAAGGAGGAGACCCCACAGCCTCTGGGCTGCCTGGGGGTCAGGGGAACCTCCTGGGCTCCAGGCTGGGCCCACTGCCTCCCGGTCCACTGTCCCACCACCTTCTCAAGGAACAGAATGGGATCTCCAGCCATGGCAATCAACACATTAAAGGATCCAGAAGCTGCCTGCAGCATCTCAAAGCACGGCATCGCTGTGGCTCCCAGTGCTCTCCCAGGAAGCTGTCAAGCACACAGAGCCCTGGACACATCCCCACTAGGTTAGAGGATGCCTGTCCAAAGCAGCGTGGGGATGTAGGGAAGCGTGTGTCAGCAGGTGAGGTGCAACCTGTGCCTTCAGGAGCTTTATGTTCCTCCGACAAGGCAAACCCCCTGGGAACTGCAGGCAGGAGCTGCTGGCAGCGAGCACCGCTCACACGAGGTGGTCAGGGTTGGGTTTGGTGCCCCTCTCTGCTCAGCCAGTTCCTCCTGCTGTCTGTATGGCAAGCTCGGGATTGCTGAAGGAATAAACCCCCAGCTGCAGAGCCACAAACCCCTGCTGTGCTTCCCCCTCTCCTTGTTTGTGACCTCGTTGTGTTTCTGAGCTTCGCTTCTTTGTTTACAGCCCCGTTCTCTTCGTGTCTGCAACCGTAAGGACTCTAACTGCGGTGTTTGTCAGGCAGTCTGCATGTGTTTTCCATAATGTATATTTTTCTTCTTTATGTGTTATTGTGGCCCCTTTCCCCTGAAGGACTGGGCGCTCACCACTCCCCTGACTTCACTCCATTGTGAAATGGCCAAGGGCACCCCAAAACACCTTGGGGACTTGGTCTGCCCAAAGGAGGCGGTCCACTGGGGATGGTGGGTTTGGGAGGCTCTCAGATTATTCTTTCCAAATAGATTTTTTTTTTTCTTTAAATTTCCAAATAGGTCTGTTCTGATTTGTTGTTGTTGTTTTCTTTCCCCATAGGGGTTGTCCTGACCCACCTCCCCAGAGCTTCCCACGCATGGAGACCAGCATCCACCACAAACATCTCACCCTCAGCTGGGCAAATGAAGGGGACAGAGCCTGAGACACCTCTCCTCCATGGAGGCTCAATGGTTCTGCTTGCAAGGTGTGTGCCAAGAGCCCTTTTCCATGGGTGGGTACCAGTGATGCCATACTCTTCCCTGCTGGCCGTGTTCAGGGTGTAAAAGCTCTTTTGGAAGATGCCCTAAGCCAGCCTCTCACCCACATCCCATTCTGGAAAGGATCTAACTTGCAGAATTATTCTTTATTTTATTTTATTTGAAAAAAAAAATCCATTTAATTTTAACTTTCTGTGCAGCTTCTTTTCCTCAATCCCCTCACTGCCGTCCTCCACCTGACACTTTCCTCCCCACGCCTCTCTGCCTGCTGACGCATGGTGTGCACTGTGCTGGGCGTCCTGACCGTGTAGTTCAGATTGCACCAAATTCTGTGATGCCCCTGCACAGTCCTTCCCACCACAGTCACACCAAGAGCTGGGGACTTCTCCCAGGACCAGGCTGTCCCACCGGGGGAGCTCCCTGGTGTCCCATCTCCTGCCCTTCAGGTAGTGATGGTGTTACCGATTTGTGCAAAATGGTCTGAAGAGGAGCGTGCGCCCACCTGCTTTCAGATAACAAAGCCACTTGGCCTCCTCCGAGGACACAAGAGGGCGCTTCCAGCTTACTTTTGGGGAGCATTTCCTCCTCTGAAGGCATTTCTCTCCTCTTCGCCCCATCAGCTGGAGAAGGTTGGGTGAAGGTCTTTAAAAAAAGGGAACTTGTCTCCAAGATCAGTTTGCAAAGGGCTTAGCTGAAGGCAGCTTCGCCCTTACAGGATTTCGAGAGTCTCCCACAAACTAATGAAATCATATTTATTTATACCAAAACTGGGGGTGTCTCCACTTCAGAGAGTGATGGATTTTCAGAGGGATATCTCAGGGGAGCTTGGCTCTGAGAGATGTCATTTGTCTGGGCATTCACTGCGAGAAACACAGACATGTCAAAAAGCATTGCTGGTACCCTGTCTGAATATAACAGAATTGCTGGTTCCAGGGGAATTTTTTATTTATTTATTTATTTATTTTAAAGCAGGAGGTGGGAGCCTGTTAATGGAGGGGGCAGATTCTGTGCTCACTGCCCCAGTAGGTGCAGCAGCAGCAGGAGTGCAGTGAGCACATTGATAATCCATTGATCATCTCCCCATGGCCAAGGAGGAGGCAGAACAGGTAAGAAAACAGTCAGAGGCTGGGAAAACACCCTGTTCATGTTAATTTACTAAAGACATTTTCCTCCCTCGTCTTGTTTTCATGAGAAGGTTTTGACTTGCTGTCGGCTCCATGCCATCTGAACTCTGGAGGTGGAGACCACAGGACCTCTGATCTGCTGTGCACAGAAGCATCACAGTGCTGACAGCAAAAGGTAATTTTTATTCACTGCTGTGTCCAAGTGCTCCTCACCTGGTGTCAGAACAATGTCCTGGATGTCCAAGCTGCATAGCATCAGTAGTAGCACCTTGGTATTTCCTTCTTGTTTTGGCTAAGTCTTGGGATCTAGGTTCACTCTCTGGTGTTGGAGACTGCCTTCCTTCCTCTTGTGAGGCTGTTTCCAGACAGACTGTCCCCAGAGAAGCAGAGTTAAGGGACATCCATGCACTGGGAACATGCCCTGTATCTCACTGCAGCTACGAGAGCCACACCTAATTACCTGCTCCTAAATAGAGCCCAATTAGTCAGTGCCCAGCTTTCCTGCGTATCGTAGTCCCATCGCCTGTGTTTCCCCATGAGGTAGGTAGGTTGGAGGCCAGGGATGCTGCCAGCAGGGTTTCTTCATGCAACTTTCAGGAGAAAATCAAAACATTAGGGTATTTTACATCATGACAGTAGGGCCTTAGGTTTTCCTAGGGCTTCACAGTCTCTAGGATATAGAGATAGCTGTTCTTTGTGAGTGCTGGGTAGCACTTAGTGGTTACTGCCTGTTAGTTTTTGAAAAATACTCTTGATTTGAGATGTGTTAAGATGTCGGTCTTGGAGACACTGCTGTATGGAAAAAAAAGGTCTTTCCTGAAGATCAGATCATTTTCTGTGTTTGAAGCTGTGCTCTGGAACAGGATGCCCCCCAAACACTGGTTATGTGTTAAAGTAGTTTTAAAATTGCTTCAGTTTTACAGGAAGAAAATCATCCAGTGTGGGAAGAAGAAAGAAAAGGTATTTGGGACCTTTGTGGTGCCTCTGTTTATATCCTAAAACACAAAGCTTGACACAGTGGGGCTCTGATTTTGAGCACATCTATAACTTCTTGGGGCTGGAGTTGGTGAGGGATCTCGTGAGCAGTGCTGCCAGGCGGCTTTGAAACGGTGCCTTTCCTTCTTAGACAGCTAAAGGCAACTCAGATCCTTCTTCTCTGCTGCCTCATGCCATCTCAAATCCAAATGTTCATTAGAAGAAGGAAACATGGGACAGTCAGGATGAGGTTGTATTTGTCTCCTCCTCCCCATGCCTCAGTCCCAGCCAAATTTTGGCAACCTCCAATCACAGCCTTGTCCTTGGGTCTGGAGCATCTTCTGGTCTTCTTCTTCATCATCTGGCTGGTGGTGGAAGTTAAGAGGGAAAACCAGTGTGCTCTGGGGAGCAGCTCCTGCCCCAGTGCCTTGTGCCTCCTCCCTGCACCATTGCCTTGGGGGATTTTGGCTGCAGAGACAGGACCAAGGTAGTAAGAGAGCAAGGAGGACATGAACATCTCTGAACCTTTCTGAAAGAAGGCAGGACATCTAGGTGCAGGAAATAAACACAATGAAGAACTTTATCATTAGACAAACACTCCCTGGGCAACTTTTAAATGGAGCATGTTTTCTGCCCATGAAGTCCTATAGGTGTTAGTATTTAAAGCTCCAAATTTTCATCTGTTTCTCTATAAGAAGAGACATGTGGCAATATCTTCTTCCTTATAGATGCGGAATAACTCGGCCCTCATGCTCTTTGTTGGAAGGATCTTCCCAGTGCTTTCATCACTTTTCCTCAAAAAAACCTGCCTTAATTTTCTTTCTCATGAGCCTCCACCATTTAAAACCTTGAGTCTACTGTCAGGCAGCAAGATGTCAGAGAATTTCACCAGTGGAACATGCACCTATTCACCTGAATAAGTAGGACTGGTTATCTTTTGGATCTTTTGGGGGTCCACATGTCCCACGTTAGCTACTTCTCAAGCACTTGGCCTTGCAGCATTTTCTTGCTGTTGTTTTCACATATGCAAGTTGCCTTTTCCCACTGGGCTCCAAGCTTGCACGGGAAAATATCCCAGATCAGATACCATAAACCCATGAGCAGCGTTGCTTAATGCAATCCATTTTGCAATGTTTCCACCCGTATCTGTTTATCCCCCTTGCCTGCCTTTTCACAGCAGGGCGGAGGCATTTGCTCGGCAGCTCTTGGCAGTTACGACCTCTGCATTCACAGGGACATGCTGGCCAGGCTCGGCTGAGCCCAGATGTGAGAATGTATTGCAGATATTCTCCACTTTTTCTTGACCAAATAAGGGAACGTTGCCCTTCCTAATGCTGGGGAACGGGGGTAGGATGAATAACTTGGAGGATTAAGAATGAAATCTGGAGCCTTTTCCCTCTCTGCTTGCAGGCTCGTGGGCTGGGAGGGATTGTTACCATCTGAAGGCTGGTGAAATGGTTTGGCTCCTCCTCGCTCAGTTCCCTGAGTTTGTTCTGGCAGTTTGTTGGCAGGTCTGGATGGGTCTGGGGATCCAGCCTGGATGGAGTGCTCCAAACCAGGGCTGGAGAATAACGAGGCATCATGCACGCCAAGGCTGCAGTCGCTAGCTGCATCCCTGCTTCATGGCTAAATAGGGCGCTTGAGTCTTCAGGGCTGATGTCCATCTGGCTCTTCACAGTCACTTAAGCAGTGTTTTCAAACAGCAGCTGCCAGGGCACCCTCCTCTGCTGCTTTGTGTGCCAAAAAAGAGAAGACCACCCCCTGTCTGTGAGGGACATGAGTTCAGCATCTACTAACTGTTCCCAGCTGCTGCTCTCGGCCAGGGAAGCCTCATGCATATGGGGAGAAATTGGGGAAGATGGTCCTGTAGTCCCACCTCTGGGAATTTGTGCAAGAAGAAGATCTGTCCAAGGGGGAAAAGCTGGGAGATGATTGTACTCACATCTTGGTAGAGATGCAGACAGGTCCTGCTCCTGCTGAATGTGCAGAGCTGTTGGAATGATGGGAGAGGAGCAGGGCTCTTAGGGAATGCATTGGGAACCCTTTGTCTGAAGAGGCCTCCAAGGTGGCCCATGGCAAGCAAGAAGATCAGCTATGAATTGTGTTTTCTCCTGGTGCAAGGCTTTGAGTGAGATTAAGGAGCAGCCCAAGGCACCTAAACTCTCATATTTACCTCTGAGACTGCCACAGGGCTGCTGTGTCCATGCTGCCTGCTGCTGGCAGCCTTGCCATGTCCTGGTTGAAGCTTGGCCACCCTCCTCTGGTTGTGTTTTCTGTCCCGCTTACTCCCCAGCCCTCTCTCCTTTGTCCTGTCAGTTCCCCCCTGCTGGGAGCTGAACCTCTTTCCAGATGCCTGGCTGGTCTCCCAGAAGCAGCACAGCACCATTGTAATGTGTAATTAGGCTGGAATTCTCCTCCAGCCGCCTTCTTTATTTAAATTACACCAATTGTTGAGTATCCAAGAGGTTATAAACCCAAACAGAATGGGGTCCTCGCACTTTGCCCCTTCTTGCCCCAAAATGTAGTCTTTTAGCACATTACCTGGCAACACAGGAAAAATATCAACAATAACAGAGCCTAGTGCTGCATGAGGACATGCCTTGGAAAGATGGAGGAATGCAGTCATATCTAGTGAAGGAGATGGGGCAGAAGAAATTTTGGAATTTTGGGTAAGTACGTTTACCAAGGCTACCTGGCACAATAACACCAAAGAGAGCTAAAAAACATGGATTTCCATGAGCAGTCCTAATCTTCCTCCTCTGGGCAACTCCAAGATAATGCCAGCATATGATCTGGGACACATCTTTCATGGAGAATTATTAAAACCAGACAGTAGCCAGGCATCTAAATAGTACTAAAAGCAGCATAATAGTGCTGACCTTGGTCTTTAGTGGATAAAATCCAAAGAAAGCGTGGAAGTGTTTTTGGAAGCTCAGACAAACCCTGGTGAATGGACGCTGCAGAGATGGCCATCTGTGTGTCTTCAAGGCTGGTTACTGCAGTGAGAAAGCAGCAACTGTTCAGCTGCGTAAGAGGGGTTTGACTTAATGTAACATAGATCCCAGCAAAGAGGCTGAAAAGAAAAGACCACCCTCCCTCTTTGATATGCAGCTTGTGTGACTTTTCTGTGACAGGGCAATCTCTCTCCCAGCTCAAGAGCTCAGGGCTGGGTCTGCAGTGGGGTCTCTGAGTGTAGCTCCAAGTGCTCCAGCTGCTGATGTGATCCTGCACAGGCAAAAATAAATTTGTAAGGGTCTTAAGGGTAATAGGTGTTTCTAAGGATTTCCCTGTCTGACTGCAGATTTTAAATGCGTAGAAATGCATGGGGGAAAAATACAGGTATGGGTAAAGATGTGTGGGAACGACCGGGTCTCCCTTATTCCCATTTGCTTTGGGTTGGCTCTGTCTTCTGCTTTAAAACAAAAACAAACCCCCGAAACATTGGACTGGGTTGCATAAACATTACCAGATCAGCTCTCTGACTGTCTGACACTGTTATATCCCATTATGCACTTTATCAGTGTTGATCTAGCCTGTATTAGCAGGAAGGCAAGTTATCGTGAAGATAAAGCCGAAGTGCTGAGGGGTAACAGCACTTTTTTCCCATGTCCCTTTCTGCAGCAGTGACAGCTTTCAGATTGCAGGTCTAACTCTAAGTGTGCCAAAAGGATGTAATCCTTTATCTCCTGATACAAAAGGCATCTGAGATCCCCCTGAATGCCCAAACTGATGTCTTTTCTAGGTGCTCCAGCATCACAGCTCCCTGGGCAGGTCCTCGTGTTCACCAAGAGGGGCTGTTGCACTAACTGGGACTGTTTGAGGACTTGAGGACTGAACGTGTGCTGCTGAGATTTTCTTGAACACATCTCCACCTAGATGGCTGTGGGCTCAGAAGGACACGTGCCCTGTCAGGTTGTGCATCTACAGGTGAGTCTAAATGCAACCAGGAGTTTCTGCAAGCAGAATATAAAATATTCAGATCCAAATGTTGCCTTAGTCTGCATATTTCTTCCCTAATCTCTGGATTTGTTTTGCTTTCCGTGAGAAGAGTCTCACTGAGATGAATGGGATTGCCTTGCAGTAGTGTTTATTACAGCCTTCTGCTATGTGTAGGCTGTCTCCAGAGTATTAAACTCCGAGCATGTAAACTCTGAGTGCTGTGTGGCTGCACTGCATATCACAGCTCTCTTCTGTTCTGTAGCTGGGCCCTGCAGAAAGGGAGGTACGGCTGGAAAGCCCTCAATTGTAATGCACATTTTTCTCCTTTGGTGCAGACCAGACTGGTTTTCTAGCATGCTTGAGTTATGCATCATCCACAGCAAGTCACAAAATGACACTAAGCTTCTTCCGAGCAGAAATGAGGCTATAGACTTTTTAATACCGTTTTTTTGAGGGGGGTGGGAAGCAACTCTTTTATGCACATGCTCCCATTTTTCTTCAAACATATCTGCTGAGCACTGAAGTCTTGAAAAGAAAAATGGGACTCATTTACCTCTCGGGATTCTTTCTTCCCAGTGCATAAGACAATTTCTGTTGGGTCTAATAGGAGTAACATGGGCACATTGGTGACATGACTAGGTCAGGGTCATGGTATTGGACCTAGACGAGAGCAGGCTGCTGCTGGGACCTCTGTTCAAGCAGCGGCATGTAATTGTGTCCCCCAGATGGAGAATTAAGGATCAGGCCATTGAGTTCTGTGCAGCACATGAAGCTGAAGAGGCAGACATGGACCATAATTCAGCACTGCAAATGCAAGTCTACCTCGGCAAGGCTCACTTATCCAAGTCTTACATTTTGTGCATGAAACTGGAAATGTCTGGAGCTTGTGGCAGCTTTTGAAGGGTTGCATTTTGCTCTTGCTCCCCCTCTGTGGGCTGAGATACCCAAGCAGATTATGTGCTGTGAGCACTGGACTCCGTGATGTATTGTTTCCTTTTGCCAGTGGGAACCACCAGTGAGAACCACCAGCAAATCCTGCTCAGCAGAAAACCGACAAAGTCTCAAAACCAGGAACCTTTCCAAAATCTCATCAGATCCCCTAGAAATCTCTGGCTAAAACCACAATTTATATTTTATTTGAAAAAGAAAATCAAGGCAGAGAACATAAAATAAAAACAACCATACAACTGCTCCAGCCAGGGTATTTAGGCATACTTTACTTTAGAGATAGTCTAAGTGTTTTAGGACATGAGATACAATTCTTCAGTTCTGGGAAACTGCCCATGAGAACCTCAGTTCCTACAGGCCAAATAACTCATAGGGCTGATGCTCAGCATGTAAAGTACCAGGATATGCTTGAGATGTACCTAATCTCTTGAGGAAATTCTTAGTACCTCTAGGAAAATAAAAAAAAAAGAGAATCATAAAGCCCTGCCTGATTTTTTCCAAGCCATATCTGGTACTATTTTCTCTGTTACAGCTCCTGCTGCAACATTTATGATCATCTTAAAAATGAGGACAAATTTTATTACAGGGTTATTGTAGATCTTGATTTGGCTGGGGATTTTCCCAGGAGCTGGAGGACATTCCCACCATCCTGAAAATAACCTTCGGAGTGTTTGGTTTTCGTCAGGACATGGGGTTTCTCCTGCATCTGCTGAGCCCACCCCTGGGAACCATCCCATGCTGAGGGATGGGGAAATGCCAGAGCTCAGCATTGGTGCTGGCTCCAGTTCTAGGGCACATCATCTGCCTCATGTCCTGGCATCTGGCGTGGATGTCATGGTCTCTGTATGTCCACTTTGTAAATGCTTATTGTAATTGGTTATATAACCACCCAGAGAAATTAAACCATTTTGAAGTCCCATTTCATTTGGTGCTTATTGTAGGCTCTTGCCATGAAGAAGTCAGCCTAGGTAGGTGAGGCACTTACCTAGTGTTTTCTACTTAAGTGGGCTGGGAGGTGAAGAAGGCCAAAGTATCTGAGATGGGATAGAAACTGATGCCTCTGTGCTTGGTGGCTTAATCATAGATCCACAGAATGGTTTGGGTTGGAAGGGACCTCACAGCCCACCCAGTGCCACCCCCTGCCATGGGCAGGGACCCCGCCCAGCAGCCCAGGCTGCCCCCAGCCCCATCCAGCCTGGCCTTGGGCACTGCCAGGGATGGGGCAGCCACAGCTCCTCTGGGCAGCCTGGGACAGGGTCTCACTGCCCTCACTGGGAAGGATTTTTTCCTAATATCTAATCTAAATCTTCCCTTTATTAGTTTAAAGCCATTTTCCCTTGTCCTATCCCTACACCCCTGCCCAAGAGTCCCTCCCCAGCTCTCCTGCAGCCCCCTTTAGGCCCTGGCAGGCCGATGGGAGGTCTCCCCGGAGCCTTCTCCTCTCCAGGCTGAACAACCCCAACTCCCTCAGCCTGGCTCCACAGCAGAGGTGCTCCAGCCTCTGAGCATCCTCGTGGCCTCCTCTGGACTCACCCCAACAGCTCCCTGTCCTTGTGAGGCCCTGGAGCTGACAAACCCAGCTCTCCTAAGCTGGAGACCACTGGAAGAAGCAGCTACCTGTGCTGCTCCTGCTGAGTGGTGTAGGGTTCGGGCTGGGCACATTCTCACAAGTACCCAAAGAAGCAGCAGACATCCTAAAGCCATGACAACCACGTAGGAGTTCAGCCTGCTCACAGCCACGGAGAAACCATCGACTTACAATGGAGATTTTGCTGCCATCCATCAAGTGGTATCTCAGCTGTGACTCCTTGTCAGAGAAATTTTACTGGGGATGCTTTATCCCCCTTATGTCTTCCACTGGACACCTTGATTTATGGCTTCCAGCTCCCAGCCCAGATGGAGCACTGCGGTGATGGCATCAGTTGATGCGGCCTGTGCAACCTGGGGGATGCTGCTGTGTCACCCACTAATGGGAAGGCAACAAGAACCGTCTGCTCTCCTTTTTCCCCGTGACTGTGGTGCCACAGAAGTGCCAGTCTGTGGCTGGAGGGAAGAGGACTAGCTCTGGGGACCAGCTCGGCCTGGGCTTCACCTGATATGCAGCTACAGCCCACTGATGTCTTGTGCATGACTATAGCAAATTGCCCTCATGGGCTATGGAAAGGAGCTCTGGCTCTTTTTTTCTGACCCACGTTCCCTGTTTCACTGCCTTTTTCCTGTTCTGCCCTTTGGCAGAGAGGAGGAGGCAGGGAGTGCGTGACCATGCTTCCCAGGAGGGCAGCCTGGCAGGGCTGGGGCTATGAGCAGGGGACAAGATGTCCTGGTTCTGAAGCAGCATCCCCCTGGGGATGACAGAGGCCGTGCTGATGTGGGCTCTGGCATGCCTGTACCTCTCTGGTTTGGGGAGCAGGCACCAGAAACCTCTCCCCATGGCTCTGAGCATCCACAAGCCTGATCCCGCTCCCTCCCCTCAGGCTCTGGCACAGCCGGTCCCACATGTGTTCCCCTATCCACCCCTGTCACGTTCCCTCCCTGTGCCTTCCCCAGGGGATGCTGGCTCACACATGGCCTGAAATGATGTGGCTGGGCAGGGCCAGGAGGCAGGAGGAGAGTTCCCAAATTCACAGTCCTCTGGGGCAGGTGAGGAGAAGCGATGCTCAGTGCAAGGGTGGTGGTACCCTCTCCTCTACGACAAGGCATTAGCTGTTCAGCACGCCTCTCTCAAACCACAAGGCAGACCGCCTGCTTCTGCTGGAGGCATGGGTTAGGACTTGTTTAATTCCTCTGGGCACAGCCTGGTCCATTTTTAATATTCCTAGGCACAACCCCGTCCAGTAAGTGTGTCTGCAAGGCTTGCTGTGAGCCAAAGCAAGCCAAAAGCCATATTAACCCCATGGAGAGGCAGAAAGGGATAGTTTAGCCTTGGGAGTGCTTGCTTGGATATGGCAGTATGCTGACTTCTTTTTTTTTTTTTTTTTCCCTGCCCTGCTTACCCCAGAGAATGGGCTGCCTTGCTGTGGGGCTGCTTGTGAATTGCTGCTAACCTCTGCCTGCAGGAGCTGTGTCCATATCACTCCTGAAGGAGCTCCTGAAAACTTTTTAGGACAGGGGCTAAATCAGACAGCAGCTGTGTAGGAACTGACATGAAAGATCAGATTTTATTGGTAATCAGTAAACACTACATCAGATATTCAGGATATGGAGAGCAGGGGTTCGATTGTCATTAAAAATTCTCATCTCTTTATTTTCTTACCCAAGACAGCGGTCACACATCCTGGCGCAGGGCACAAGGAGGTTTTTATTGGCAGGTGTTTGGGCAATCTCATTATTCATGAATGACAGAGCGAGGCGAAGGGAGTGAGTTATGTCAGCCTTTGTAGACAAGTGGCAATAAAATAAGTTTATGGTACCGCCTCCTGCACCATCACATATTTATGTCCCGTATTTATCTCGCTTCGTTAGCCATTTGTGCTCGCTTGTCTTGCAAGGCCATCCTGCCTCCTTCCCCCTGGAGAAAGAAGGGACAGATTCTGATATTGCAGCTCATAATGGGCAGCAGTGACTCTGTGCCAGCTCCCTGGAGACTTCAAGACTGAAGTCCTTTTTGGCATTGGGTAGGGCCAACCCTACCTCTACATCGGTTTCCTCCATGTTCAAGCCAACTGGCCCTGGAGGCTCTTGGTGGGGTTGAGACATTTTGGGTCACATCCTGCTCAGCCAGCAGGCTGCAGAGATTGTGAGACATAAGTGGTGCTGCCTCCTACACAGTGAGTAACTCCACACAGTGAGTAGCCACGTTCACGTGGGGTGCCTGTGTAAGCCACTGAGTAGATGTCAGCTGAGTCAGCCTCAACATGTGACTACGTACAACAAGAAGTTAAGTACTGACCTCTGGTTTTCATGTTGATTAGTGTATCCTGATTGGGTTTTTGCTTTTGATTTTTTTTTCTTCTTGCTTTGCTTTTCTTCTTTTTTTTTTTTTTTTTTTTTTTTTTTTTTATTTATTATTCTCTCCAATTGCCTGTATTAAGAACATCCACTTTCCTTGAATAAACCTGATATCTCTTCTTACACTCCTTGGGCTTGCCGGTGACGATGTTTGACTGCGTGAATCAACTCCTTTGGGTTCCGAAGTTACTATGGCCAAATTGATTCCAAGAAATTAATTTCTCCTTTGCTTTTGTTCATTTAATGTAACTGTCTGGAAGATATCCTCCCTTGTGTCTGGCTAACAGGTTCAAGAGTTTCTCTGTACCGGAACATATGTAGACACATTTGCATGTGTGCTAATCAGTCTTTGGGATTGGAACAGAAGGATTTTTTTTTTTAATTATTTTTTTATTTATTTTTTTAGGGTAAGAAGGTGCTGTCTTTCCCTTCATCTAGGATATATCTTTGCAAACTCTGCTGCCTTTTCTCTTTGGAAACAAGGCTAAGTTCCTGTAAACCCAATTATATTGCAACTTGCAGACTGGACAACAGCATGTGTGAGTATCATCCCATGTCCCTGGCCAAAGATGGTTTGGTTCCCTGGTAGCTGACAACAGCAGAGTTTCAGCAGCCCATGTAAAGCTCCAAACACACATATTAAATCTGGTAAAGGGAAGAAGATTAAGCCCGGAGCAGAGAGGCCCAGATTCAGATGTCTTTAAAGGCAACAATGAGGTCTAGGCTTCGTCCCCAGCCGGAGAGGTCAAATACATGGTTTTCATTATAGATCCCAACTCTGCTTTTTCCCCATGTCTCTGTTCCCTGGCCGGCCCATGATGTGCAGCCACAATACAAAGACATGAAAGCCCTTTGTAACATCTGACAGCAGCACGCAGCCCCCGGTCTGTCCCAGGGGGCTGCTCCACAGCGCGCTCCTTCCATTGTGCTCCAGCCCCGTCTGGATGGCAGCGATTTGGCTTTGCACGCCCTGCACATGAATTACCTGAAGAAGGACAGACGTTTGCAAGCTACAAAGTAGCGGGCACTAAATTGTGATAAGCAGAGCGCTCTGTTTCACTTCATGAGGGTGCAGCGATAGCTCCTCTGCACGTTGTCCCTGCTTCCCTTTGCTGAGTTATTGACACATATTCCTTTTTGCTGCCAGCTTCAACGGCTGCTGCTAACTCAGCCAAAGCCCATCTTTCAGCCCTGAATAATCAAGTGACTGGGACAGCTAGCAGAAGGACAATCTCCCTCCAGGACACGATGGCCCCGACATACAAACACGTTCAAACACAGACAATGAAATCGAAGGGAGCGGGCCAGGTGGGCAAAATGCCCGTGCTGGTACACTGTGATTTTAAACACATGATAGTAAAAGGGTAACAACATTTCTATCGCCATGCTAATCCTATGTGACTGCTTCAGCCTTGCATGCTCAGCCTGATTCTGCTCTGCTCAGCCTGTTGGTCTCCCCTTCCCAAGCCAGACAGGAGTGGGAGAGGATGCCAGGGAGCCAGATTTCAGCTTTTCATACCCTAAACAGTGGTGTTAAGGCTGTAAGTTCATGAAAACAGTGGATCCCTAGTCCCTCAGCCTCTTATCAAGAGGTAAGTCCTGGCCCATCAGCAAGGCCAAACCCTTGAAGGGCAAAGGTTTAGGAGGACTCAAGGTACAGACTGCCCCCCTCCATCCAAAACAACCCATCCCAGGCCCCAAGCCCCCCTAAAGTCTTCCCACAGGTTGAACGATACCCTGACATTTAGAAATATCATGGTATTTCCGTGGCGTTAGAGCCGTGGAAGATTTAAAGTGTGTCACTGGATGCTGCGATACAATCTCGGTCGTCCCTCGATGCCATCTCTCACGCGCTGCACGCACATCAGCTGGCTTCAGCTGCTTCTCCGCCGAAAGATGTCACGGATGTGCTCAGCAGGACTTACCTACACACAGCGAGTGTTTATGTGTTTGCAGGATCCTGGCTCACACCTTTCTTATGAGTGCACGGAGTGCAGAAAGCGCCGGTAGCATCTAGGCAGCCTACCTGGAGCTCTGGAAATTTTTAGCGTAAAAACGAAGCTTTGGGGAGGGAGGGGGAAACACAAAAGGTCTTAAGATTTCACTGATTTCTCCTGAGACCCTTTTCTGTACACAAAGTGTTTCCTGCTCTGTTCTTGGAAGCATTACCCTTGGCTGGGCCTGGCCTTTAAAACATTACCAGCTGTATGCAAAATAGAGTGCAAAGTGCCAAAAAGCCCTGCAGGCTATTTACATTTGGCTGGAGCTTGCTGTGTTGGCCAAGCTACAGAGATACTTTGTTCATCAGCCTTGCAAGGAAAGCAGCTACTTCAAGCTGTTTGGTCCTGTTTATACACAGAGTTACCATGGAAGTCCCCGTGCCTCGCAGCTTTACACATTCATGTGTCGTGGGGTATATTTCTGGGGACCTGGGTTGTCTCCTTTCTGCCCTCTCTTTTGGCTGAGAGTTGGTAGGGAATTTTGGGATAAGGTGCTTGGATAGAGGTTGAGTGCAAACTGATTTATGTCTAAAATAAAGGGCTGCTTGGAGTTACACGGATCTTCTCTGGATGCAAGCACAAGCAGGTGGAGCAGTGGGGTACCTGCTGGGTTGGCAAGAGCATTTTTCCCAAGGTAAATTTGGAGAAATTGCAATGACAGGCATAAGGGTAACTTGTCTTTTTAAGAGACCTTAGGGAAAATGTAGCAACCTTTGCAATATTTTTTTTTTAAGAGGAGTTGTTTGAGTCCTTGGGTTACTATCCCAGCTAACAGGCATGCAGATTTCTTGCCATTTCTTTCTTCTTTTGTTTGTTTACCTGTTGTGTTAAAAAGATTTCTTTTAGCTGAAGACTTGCCATTAATCATCTCTTGCAAACACGCCTCCTAGGCAGACTGATTCACGGGCACGAGGGCTGGAGGCCCTCTTCACTTGGCTAGGTCTAGGTCTTCAGCTCAGGGCATTTACATCTCTGTCCTGGGAACCTGTGCTGGGAAAGGCCAACAGATTGCGTCCTTGGCCTCGCACCAAGGCCTGGGATCATCTCAGGTACTGGACGGGATCATCTGAATATAGCCTCCTCTTGCAAGAAATCCCCAAGGAGCGCTAGGAGGAACCACTCTTCTGATGGTGAAACACATCTCCCTGTGTCTGTCCTGAGCAAGATCAGGGGGCACTTCTGCTCTTTGTTTTAGCAGGGCAAGGATTTGCCACTGCAGCTAGGAGGGGTGGAGAGGACGCACGGCTGAGCCCTGCGGGCTGCCCAAAGGTCCCCAAACACAGCTGGCTGGGCTGGAGCTTGGACAACGCAGCTCCACCTGTGCACGAAGGGCTCTCCTGCTGCTTTTGGCTATCAAACGCCCTCGCTCAGAAGTAGAAACGTTTGGGAAGCAAAACAGCAATGTGTCTGCTGTCTGTGCACTTGCTCTCCTCCAAAGACGGAGCCAGCCAAGCCTGGAGTTCATTCTCTCTTGGCCAATAGTTAATAATAACCCTGCAACAGTTTCTTTTTTCATTGCAAATTAAGGGTGGATGAATGGCCTGGATAAAATTAGAAATGTTTTCCTGAAAGGCTGAGCTGAGCCTTTTAAAGTTTACAAAGTTGTAGTTCCAGGGACCTCTTGTTGCAGCTGGGGAATCCCAGCTGCTCTCAGAAGGGTGAACAGATAAAAAAAATGCCTGCGTGTTGCACGTGGGTTAGAAAGTCCTCTCTGTCCGGCCGGCTTCCCAGCACCCTGGCTTTGAGGAGGTTGGTGGGGCAGCTCCTGATTTCCCCTTCCTTAACTGCTGTGGCCAAAAGCTTAATGTTCCCTTAGCAGGCAAGCCCCCTGCGTGGTGTTCAGGGGCAGACAGGAGTTTTTTTTGGGGTTGTGTGATGATGTACACCCTGTGGGGCACATTGCAGGAGAGGAAAGGAGTGCATGTCACCTTCATAGGATCCATCACTGAGTGCTCCTACACTGGTGAGGCTCAATGCATGAGCTCAAACCAGCAAGACACGAGATGGACAGCTGTCAGCAGCAGCTGCTTGAAGTTCAATAATTCAGATTTTTTTGTGTCCCTGCACTCTTAACTAACATAAACCCTGAGCCATTGACTTCAGTGTGGTGTTTGGATTCTGCTGGCATTTAAAATGATCCGCCGAGGTTAGCAGAGACGATGTACGCCAGCTCAGTATTAGGCCCAGCACTTTCTGCATAGTATTAACATTTATATCCCCTCCAGAAAGGCTGAGGAAAGCACAGGTTGCCTTCATAATGAGGTATTAAAAAAAAAAAATCTCCAAACAAAACAATATGTGTTTGATAGCCTGGGAGATCTGCCTGTTGGTTTTAAAAGTCATCCTGGGCCCTTATATAACAGTGTAATTAGTTGATGCTATAAACTTATTATGTACCTGATGGAACACAACAGTTCCTTTGAAGCAATTCCGATCTATTGTGTAATTATATAATTAGGCCACATGCCATACGTGGGAGATTGTGCAAAGGGGGGAAGCTTTCCATTTCAAGGTAACCAAGAGCCTTGGTGGCTATGGGTATTTTTATTTTTTTCTGCTGCCTTGCAATTTAGAAAATGCCGAACTCTTAATTAGTTATACCACTTTTCTTTGGCCGAGTTAAGTGCCCCAGGAGTCTCCAAGGGGGTCTGCAATTTATTGCCTATGGAGAGATTTCCTTGGACAGTGCAGACCTGCTCTGCACGCCGTCAAATGTGATGGGATCCGGGACCTCTGGCTGCAAGAGAAGGGAAGCAGAAGTCAAATAACTCGCTAAGAGTTTTTTAAATAATCTGATTGCATCAGGTTCAGGCACTCCAGGTTTATTACGGCTGGATTTTCCCTTCCTTCTTATAAAAGCCTTGATGTGTCTTCCTCTCTGGGTAGCTGGGACAGTCATGTGTGTAACATGTGAGAAGGGACGGATGTAGCATCTCAGTATTTTGTACCTAGAGTGTCTCGGGGCAGCTCAGCGCTGTTTTTTCATGTGCTGGTTGCTGGCTTGTACCTTGCAGTATACAGGCTCACAAATAAGCATTGCTAGGATGAAATCAAGTTTGGTGGGCCCTAGCTAGAGATACAAGAAGGGCCAACAAGTTTTGGTCTTGGTGGTCTTAAGAGGTCTCCAAAATAGGATTGGGACCTCCGGATCTCAGAGCCTGAGCCTGCACTACTTGGGTGTGGGGTGGGAAGTCCAGATGCAGCCATCTGTTCTGGATAAATCAGGATTAGTGTGAGGCACATTCGGACTTTGATCAGGAAGTCCTGACCCATGAAACCCACCTTCAAGGAGAGTGTTGGTTCAGATGCAAGGGGAAGCTATTCATAGTTCTCAGATGCTGCAGCTGGTGATGCTGGATTTGTGGGATTTGCAACTGACTACAACATGCTTGCTCCCGGAGCAGTGAAAAGAGACCCAAAGGATTTAAGCCACGATGTGCCTTTGTGGAAGGATTTTGAGGCTGTGCTGAGATAGAGCCTGGGACTCCCTGAAACCAAGCACTTACAACGTGTCCCTGGGTTTGAGAGCTCGTCTGAACTCCAGATAAAAGGGGTTGTTTCCCTTGACATCAACGCTTTGGTGGGATGAATCCTCAGTCTTGATGAGAGCTGTCAGCTCAGTGATCATTCCTCGCACAGCACATAAATGTCATTTTTTTTTACTGATTGGTTTTCCCTTTGGAAGCTGTGCTGGAGCAACTCCTTGACTGAATGTCTCTGAAGATGTGCTCCAAGGGGGGGTCTCTGGTGGCAAAGTCCTCATTTCTTCATTGCCTGAGCATTTGGGGAAGAAGGTGACTTTCCACATGGTATTTTAAAGAATATATTTGCACAGAGCTGCTGTGAGCTGGGTTCTGATACAGATTGTGCATTAAAGCATGCTATTTCTAAAGCCTGCTCTTTCCGAACACAAAGCACAAAAGGACCATTGCTAGGTTCTTGCAAAACAACAAACAAATGCAAAAAATCCATCTGGGAGCATTAAGGAATTTTTCAGCAAAGTCTCTACGTCCAAGATTAATTTTTCCCCATGAAAAACTACATTTTTTTTCATTGTACTTTAGAACAATATTTTCTTTTGAGAAGAGCTGTGCAAATTAATCATGTAAATAAATCCGACCTGCCTAGCAGACTGGAAGATATCATGATGTATGTATACACATACACGCCTGTATATGTACACACAGAAACCCCACAGAAAAGATGTTGGTCAGGAGGTGATGCAGATAAAACTCTACTTTTGCCAGCAAGACTTACTGAAGTATTTTCCTCATTATCTCCTGCTGAGCTGCCATGGCTTTTGGACTGTGAATATGAAATGAGGAATACGGTTTAACCGCACCATTTTGGCAGCCTTCAGGGGCCTTCTTGGTGTCTTTTCTGAAGTTGTTACAAGGTTTTCTTCCACCTCAGCAAGGAGAGTTCTGCCGTGGAGTAAGGGGGTTTGCAAACTGGTGTAGACAGGGGAAAGGGAAAGCACAGATTTCCCAATGCACCCGGCTCTCTGCCTGATGCAGAAAACCCGACCCAGCCCAAATTGCCTCTACATGCAGAGCATCTCCAAGCCACCTGAGGTCCACGTTGTGGGACATCCCTAGAAAGAGACAGAAACTGAAGGTACCAGAGGTCTGAAAGTGCTGAAACCTGACTCTGAGGCCACACAGGAGGGGAAAATAAAGGTAAAAAAAAGTTGAAAAAGGGGAAAAGTGTTCCTCCTTCCTCCCCCTTTTAAACCCCTAAATGACAATATGGCCAGGCATTTCTGTCACTGTGTGTGAGACCTCTTTCAGATTGCATTGGTGGAGGGGACCTGAAGGTGCTGGAGGAAGGATGCACTCACACAGGTACCACTGCAGGGGTTCCATTTCCATGGGTAACAAAAAAAATTAATAAAATCTGCATTAACAAAAAAAATCTTCCTGCTCTTACCCCAGACCCCATAAACCGAGGTCTAGAGCCCATCCCAATGTGTGTGATGCCTTTGTGGGCTCTGCTGACACCCAGGTGTTCAGCTGTGGTGCTCTGGGAAGAGATTTCACCCTTGCTGCTGGGAACCCTCTGTTCGATGCTGTGATTTCACCACCCTTTTCCTCCCATTCCCTTGCCTTGATCAGCCGATACAAAGCCTGGCTGGGGCGCCCTGCCTGGCCATGCTCACCCCACGATGGGACAGCCGCCGGCTCTGTGGGGTTGGCTGGGACCCAAGCAGAGGATCAGAGAGCGGCCGTGGGCTCCCTCGGGACCAGCCTTGCCGCTGTGCCAAGCAAATCTCAGCTCTGCAGAGAGCCTGGCCCGCAACACGGGCTCCACGCTGCTCCTGCCAGCTGAAATGCTGCCACTAAGCTGCTTGCTCCTTGTTTGCCCAGCAGCCCCCGTGAAGCTGAGGGATGCCATCAGAAAAGCTGAAAAATCGCAATGCTTCATCCTCTGCTCGCTGCTGCCGTCAGCCTCTGACTTAAGGCTTTGGCATCCGAGGACAGCTACAAAAAGCTTGGTTTCTGTGGGGCTGGGCAGCAGACACAGGCTCCTTTGTGCTTATTTAGCAGGGAGATCATGGGGGAGAGATTTTGTCTCCGTCTGATGAGGATGGAGGATCCTCGTGGTGGAGACCCAGCCGTCTCATCACTGTGCAGGGCTGGTGGACACGGGGCAGGAGGACAGGGATGAGGCAGTGCTGCTGCTCGCCCTGAGCAGACACCCAGCCTGGGGCCCCAGCACCACATTCCCTGCATGCACATGCTTGTATGTGGCTTAATAATAAGAAATTATGTGACTTAATAAGAAGAAATTATGATTATTGAATTACAATCACGGTATTGATATTCTTCTTATCACTACTGTTAGTATTGCTGTTGGGATTGAGAGATCATCTCTGAACCCCCTGCCAGTTCAGACAGAAAGCAGTCCTCCAAGAAATAATTGCCTTATACTGAGATTTTAAGCCAAAAGCTGGGAAAACACAGGGTTACGGTAGCTATAGAGATAGGTATGGGGCAGGTTCCCATACAGAGTTGGGAGAGGCTATGGGATAATGCCCTCAGAGGGACTTTCCCAGTAGGGCTGGTATTTACCTATATGTTGGGACAACACATCATTGCATTTATTCCATATTTTTTCCAAAATCCCAACCCCCAGGACTGGTTTTCTCCAGCACCCTTTCCCCACTGCTCTCCCCTTGGGGAACAGTGGTGTTTTCTGGGGATGGGCTCAGTGGTCCCTGGGCTGTGACACCGGCTGTGGTCTCCCCATCCATTCAAACCTGCGGTCTTCTGGTGAGAATTTAGTTTTCCTTACCTTAAAAAGAGACAACCTTCACCGCTGATATATCTGCTTCCTGTGCCCCTCGCTACAGTTTTCATCAGCTCGTGGTACATCTGTATTCCTGGGAAACTAAGCTGTCCTTAACACCTAATTTCTCTCTGCCTCCCTCTCTGCAGGCAGTGATATATCTTTGCCAATTTATTGAGGAATTAGCTGGGGATAAGGATCTGTGTACACTTGATGCTTTACTTCCCAACACCCACCATTAATAATGAGCATGTACTTTATGACCTAAGTCTTGTTTTAAGTGAATGCAAAGTATTGGCTCTTTTCTTGATGATCCATAGCCCTCGCAGCCCCGCATTGTTACCTGGAGCGTTTCCAAGTGTTTTGGAGCAATGCACCAGAATACATCACAAACGAACCAGTTTTGCTTGTCTAAATTTTGTCTCCGGGGATTTGGGACGGACGGCAGGGGAGGAGAGGGATGAATATTTATTAGCTTTTAATCAAAGGAAGTGCTCTCTGTAACCAGACAGGCTACTGTCTGCATCTGATCGAGGAGACACATCAAGGTCCTTGATTCTTTGCTACTCTGTGGCTCTTGTCGCTACTCGCTGTGCAGACGGGTTGCAAAACACACTAGAGAGGTCTGTGTTGGGATTCCCCTCCATCTGGCCTTTCCTGGCCACGTCCACCCAGGTTTTGCTTGGCCTTTGAGAATTCCTGGAGGAAAAGGATGAGCAGAGATCAACAGCAAAGTGCACGTGCAGTGACCCCGAGAAACAAAGTGATTTTGGGGTAAGTTTGCAGACATTCAGGAAATCTGTGGATGAGCCTGAATAACCCATCCAACCTGGTGGTGGATATCCTGGCACAGCACAACTCAAAGCCAACCTTTCAGCATCCTCATCTGGAAGGGACAGAGCGTGGCGATGCTGGTGCTGGGGTAAGGGTTTGCTGGTGTGGTGGGGCTGGGCTAGGAGATGCTGGAGGAGACCTCTAGCTTCTCTTCAGATTGGTGGGCAGCCCAAATGCATGATGTGGACTGCAGTTAAGGTCCACAACACCTCACAGGAGACAGGACCAAAATCCTGAGGCACCAAGTCCCATGACCCTCACAACCCTCCTCAGTCAGCCCAGCCCCAGAGCCCTGCTGTTTCCCTTGCACATATCTCCTGTGCAAAGCTATTCCTGACAGCCTGCTACCCCACAGCCCTGGCATTTCAGCCCAACCCCAGCCTTCTCCTGCTGCCTTTTCCGACCGCTGTTGCTCCTTAAATCAGCCAGCCTCCACTGTGCCTTCTGCAGAGCCACACTGCAGCTCATCCATCTCCTGCCA